TTTTTTTTTTTTTTTTTTTTTTAGAAAATTGTGATTAAATTCATATCTATAATGTTAATTAACAAAATAAATTTTTTGTGACGTTTTCAGTTTATTCACAATGTTCTTTAATATCTATTTAACTTTAGGTGCTTACTTTTACTTACTTTTAGCTTAATAATAGTTAGAATCATTCGACGAAAGGACCATCGATATACTCGTTGACTCACACGATGTTAGTGAGCACCTGTTAGATTAGCCATTGTGGATAGCATGCTTACAATTATAATATTTTAGAGTTAACAAAAGAGTTTAATTTTATTCAAAATTCGTTATAACAGATAACATACAATTTTGAATACTAACACATTTTTTGGAATGAACATTGATCCATATTAATTGATTTATTGAGAAAAACAGTCTCGATTGTCACTAATTGGGACACTCTCTCTCTCTCTATCATTAATTAGGTCATTTACCTTACAGTAATAACAAATGTAATAGTAATTTTAATTGAGGTGCAAAAACATCTCGTTGATATCATAATAACAATTTACGTAAAAATCAGGTGACTGTTCCCGAGTTATAAAGAACAAATATAAGTTCTATCACATTTGCATCTATTATCTATTTACACTCAAGTTTTAAATTCAGAGTTACTTGGTTCTTGACATTCCTATTAGCGTTAAATGTCTCCTCAAAAAATGAAAAACTCTCGAGAGATTATTTCTCGAGGTGTTAATATAACCCGCCGGTCAGCTGCCAATTTCCCTCTCCCCTTTTTTCGCATGGGCACCCATGGGATTCTGCGCGCGTGGGGCGCGTGCGAACGGAGCCAGCAGCGACGTGAGTGTGTCACGGCAATGCGTGCGTGCGTGCGTGCGTTGCGTGCGCGTGTGCACCTTCACTGTTACACCCGGCAAGACTTCTCTCCCCTCCGTCTCTCATCTCGCAGCGTGTAAGGTACACACGTGCACGCGGGCGCGTGTATCGCTGTCACAGACGCTCACGCACGCACGCACTCACACGGGCTCGCACGCCCGTCCTCTTCGTCTCTCTCTCCCTCTCGGTCCGCCGCGGGTTCTCTAAGGCGACTTACGCCTACACGTTGTAGTTGCAGCATCCACACTTAGCCCTCCTCAGTCCAGCGCGTGCCTCCACGCGACCAACCACCACCTCGATCACTGCTCTCTCACTCTCGCGCGGATTCACGCTCGCGGTGGCGAACCTCAACACACGTCCGCCGCGAATTTCGCGCTGACAGTGCTTTCGGCCAGCGCCTGCTTGATCGCGCGCGGTTGATCAAGTGGCCCGCCAGTGTCCTGTGCGACAGTGTCTCGCGATCGGAGAAAATCGAATCAAGTGCGTTGGATGTGACTGTCATGACGAATGTCGCGTCGACGCTTTCTAACGGTTTAATGTTACGAGTGTTTGGCGAGACTATAAGAAAGCTTCGACGCGTTTTGCAGCATTGTGACATTTATACGGTAAAATCTTATGAATTACTTTTATTAGAGCTACCAAAATTCACTGAAAATTGAATGACAGTTGAATATTCTTCAATTTTGTTCTCTGGAGCACTTGTTTTTTTCTGTAAAACGGAATAAAAATAAATGTATTTTTGATATTTCAGTAATTCAGCATATCATATCCTAGCATTATCAATTTTTATAAAAATAAGTTCCTATAATAATGCAGAGTAATATTTAATGGACATTCAATTGTCTTTGAAATTTTAAGTATATTTGGGAATCATGACGTTCGCATTTGACTATCTATCTATGTAATCAATATTTCATGAAAGAATAAAATAGTTGATTGAAAGTGGTGATCGTGTATATCGTCGTAAATAGGTGAATTGTTCGTGCGAGTTGTATTATCGATGTTCGGAATAATTCGGTCAAATTTCGGCGAATATTTTGTGAAGAGTGTTCATCATCAAAAAAACAACTTCTCAATAAATTTTAATAAAAAATATTGCAATCGAGCAACAGTTGGTCAAGTTGTAAGTTATCTAAAATATAGACATACGATAGAGACGCGAGCGAGTAATCGAAATTCGTAATTTTATCGAGACGAGCAGGAGCCAAGTGGAGAATTTACATTCGATCGCCGATCACTCGGAGGTTTGATCGAGGAAACCAGTTGACGATTGAAACGCGGATAGAACCGCGCGTTTCGTTGACGATCATCGACGATCGCGTCCGGTCTCATCAGGGCGACGATAATACGGTGAACGAGACAACGGGGGAGGCGAATCGGCAATTTATATCGATTCGTCGATCGATCGGGAAACGTCGCACCCGCCGCTCGACGAGAGAACGTTGGCACGCGGATTGGAAATCGGCGGCGAGCGTGGGTCGACACGCGGCGCCAACCTGTTGCTCGAGATCGGACTCGTTTCCATTTAGAGGACTACGGGAGCCCAGGCCGAACTGGCTGCCGTCGCTCCGACACACCGTGGGACCCGTCCTCGATCCGGAGCCAGGAATTAATCAACCGGACCAGCGGAGTGTTTCGACTACCCCACTTCTGATTAACGCCCGAACGTGTCTTGATCGAAGATGCAGTGGGATCGAAAGGACTCCGTGGTAGTCTTCTGTTTCGAAGCCATTGATACCGGTTGTTTCTGATTAACGTCGCGTTTCTCTGAAGGAGGCTGTTGACGATAGGAGGTCTTCGAGACACGTCTTCGACTCGAAACCAGGGATTAATCAAACGGACTTGTGATTAAATGGCGTCCCAACGACGGACAATTATCAAGCGGATTGTAGAACCACGTGTCTTCAAGATAGACTTTCCATTCGAAGCTTGAACTTAATAAGAATAAACTCATAAGTGGCGCGAATGCATTTCTTATTAATGTTGGAATGTGAATTATAAGTAGAGTGCGAACGTGTATCGTGTTGAAATAATCCAACGTAGTTTTCATAAGAATGCGTACCGCTCAGCGTTTAAAAGTTGTCATATTGAATGTGCACCGAGAAAGATAGAAATCCGAAACGCAGATTCGTATGTCTTTGAAACTCAAGACTGATGTACAACTCCGAGACAAAATGAACACCATCGGATTCAAAATGTTCAGTTATTCAGTGATCAGTTTCGTGGTCCTTTGGGCCAGTCTGTCGTCGGCCAGCCTTTCGACCAGCGAATTACTGGAATGTCGAGCGAATTTGACGGCGGCGATCAAAAACGATACGATGTTCCTGGAGAAGGTGCGCCAGTCCGACTACATCTTTACAGGGAAGGTCAAGGAGCTACAGCACGGACAGCTGCTGCACGTGCGCGTCAAGAGGGCGATCAAGGGTGCGCTGAACGTCACCGTCGACCTCGCGGTGAACGATACCTGCGGCCGTTACATCAGGCGCAGTTACACCGGCATCTTCATGGCGCGTCGCGGTGCCAACGACGTTGGCAGGATCGTGATGCACTTCGGCCCGGTACCGCTTACGCTCGCCAACCTCGACAGGCTGAACGCTGCCGTCAGAGGTAAGCTCGCCGTCAGGCATACCATTTCGTTCCTCGCTTTCACGCGGAACGCGAACGCGGCGGGAAACGTTCGCGCGTTAACGAGACACTTTAACGTCGCGCTAAAATGCTTCCCGTTAATTGGATAAGTCGGAATACGGACTACCCGACGTAGCATCGCCGGGCGCGAGATACAAGCGCAGCGGCTGCTTGTCCGTTTCACGTTTAATGGATCTCGGTCGTCAGGCGAGAGATTTCGCAAGGGAATGCAGCTCGCTTGGATTGTACAGTTTGCGCCATTATTTAGTACTTTTTTGTATACATACGATTTCGATGACGATCTCGTCGGGTTGATTTCGGAGCCAAATTGTAAAACCTTCGACAAAGTTTAGGAACTCGAGATTTTAACGATTTTTGAGTGCAAACGGATGTCTAAAGAATTTTTTCTAAGATAAATCTTTTAGGACTTTGATGAGGAAAATTTATCTATGAACAATTCGCACAGATTTTGCTAAATACTATAGACTTGACAGAATTGTATTAAGAATCTTTCAGCTTTGTTTTGATTTGTGGTGTACAGAAATTTATTTATGTACATTTCTAGCTTTCTTATTTGTTATACAATTCGTGTTGCGCACAATTTTCTTTATAAATAAAGAAAGGATTTCACATTCGCGATGATTCTTACCTTTTTTCTTGCATATTATGCAGTATTCTCTTACAAGAGTCATGCGTGAGCGTGTTGACACGCAATGTGTTGTTGCCACGTAGGTGGATAAAACACGTCAGTCGGTTAGCATTCAAGGTCCACTGGACAATCGTCTCGGCAAAAGTATAAGAGAGCTAGAAACAACTATAAAGCATCTTCTTATGTGAATTAATTTCGGAGAATATGTATAGTAAACATTTTTTTTTAATCGCACAATTGATTTTTTAAACTACGTTTCTAAAACATATAAATGACAATGGCGATTGTATATTATATAGGTACATTGTTAATTCATAACGTCGTTAAACTGTATCCAATTTAAGTTACCTTTAATCATTTCTATAGGAATTTCTATATATTATATTACAATATATTTGCTTTTTTGCTTCTTTAAAGACTATATTGAGAAATTTCTCGATAATTCGATGAGTCACATGATTCTGCGTAAAGTCTGATTAAAATCTCAACGAAAAAGCGCGCGAAATGCGTGGCTCGCGTGAAAGTTTGATTAATCGCGTCGCTTTTAACCCCGAGGATTATTAAATCACGGCCATTTTGCCTCACGCACGCTGGCCATACCCCTTTTCATCGCGTTAATCGCGCTAAATAAAGCGACGCGCATTATAAATAAATTACGACTGTAATTTAACTTCTTTACGATCCGAGCAGTGCTTAATTCCTCCCTCAGGGCCGATGATACCGTTCCGACATGTTGTACCCCGACGGTCCCTGGAATTGTTTCGTGGACTATTAAAGAAATTAATGTAGGAATTATAAGAGACTGGCTTCCCGGGGCACATCGCAGGCTCCGAAAGTGATAGGGAGTCGTGATTTATTTAATAAGCGGAGATTAAGTGCGGTCTCTCTCTCTCTCTCTCTCTCTCTCTCTCTCTCTCTCTCGTCGCGCTCTAGGGTCCTCTTGTCTTTTTGCTTCCGAGATCGGTTTACGGTCGAACGTGGCGCGACGACGATGTCAACGACGCGATACGACGACGTTGATGAATAAAAGTTCCAAGCGCAGGCCCCCGCGGCCAATCGTTTAATCTCAATAACTCACAATGACGCCTGGACCCGACAAGGCTATCGGACGTCGCTTTCCCCGATCTGCCTGTTCCTTTTTCCTCATCATTTGCAAGTTGATCGGCATCGTAAGTCGCCGTAAAGCGTCGCCGGGATCTTTGACGAAAGCCGTCGTGTATAATTAGAAGCTTTTCCGGTGGTACCCGCGGGGCCCGATTTGAGTTAACAAGAGGAGTTTAAGTTCGCGAACTCGAGTGCCGGCCGTCAATCAGAAACACGGAAGAAGAGGACCGTTTGAGAGAGGGTCGTCACAGTTATTTACGCGAAATTGTCTTACGAGATAATGTATTGCATGATATAGTAGTACGACCAATCAAAAATCGGTTCTAAATCCTAAGATCTAATTACTTAAATTTAATTATATATATATATATATATATATAATTACCTAAATATTTTTTTAATTATTAATTATTACGATGTGTCAGATATAAAAATAAAACATTGAAAAATATTCTCTGAAACTGTTGGAGTGAACTTCACTCTTTTTCAAGATTGATTAAATTTTCATTTTTCAGAATGAGATTCAGCTCCAAAGAATTTAGAGAGTATATTTGAGTTGTCGAATGTTTTATATGTTTATGTCAGCCGCATTTAGGACCGAAATGCGCAGACGCTATTACTTTGTTACTGCTGCGCGCATTTTCAGGAATACAACTTTGTCTATAATTCCATTGTGTCTCGAACGTTCTATCTAGAACGAGGATGAATTCGGCGATTTTTCCTCGTGAATTCGATCATTATTATCTCTATCGGCATACTTATGATACACACTTAATCATTAATTAAGGGTTTGAGTACAGATTGATTTTCAAATTTCTGAACACCTAATCGCAAAAATGTCACACAATTAACGCAGTTAACTCATGCAGAAAGAGGTAGCGGTTATAAGATCGATGTACTGTTAACTCGTGCGCACCATCTTAGGAGATAAGTTGCCCACCCCTCTTCTTTCTCCGCCAATCTTGTCGTTCGCTTGGCCGATCGCGACTACACGGCGCCGAGTTAATCACGATGCCGGTCGTTCATTGGATATCGATTTTCTGGATTCGACGAGTCGCCTTTACCGCACGGAACGGCGTTTTATGACGCGGACGCAGCAATGAGGATCTATCCTGTTTGGCTCGCGCATGAATTTTGCTTGTGGGAGGAATCGCGATACCTTCGAGCACACGTGCGCGCTTTTTTCAGGGCGCTATCGACCTCTTCCTGGTACGTAATTTTCGTAGAAGTCGCTCTCGATTAAGTTGCAGAGTCCTCCTTTTATCTTAACGATAAAAGACGAGATAGTGTACTTCTGGTGATAACGTACATCGTTATCATCGCACTCCGGCAGTTCCAGATTGCAACCTCGTGTGAATGGAATCTCGTACAGATATGCTAAATATCTATGGACGATAATAAACGAACAACATATCTGTTTTCTCTCATGTTAACATGAATAAATTTCATATACGTTAGGTTTCCGTCTCGACCGGGAAACATTAAACACGTTTTTATTGAAATTTTAACTTTTCGCAAAGATATCGTTAATTTGCCATCGTCGCGATACCGAATACCATAATTACCAGCACGGCTTGGCGAAGCTGCACCTGGTCGCCCACGTCCGCGTTTGTGTATGGTTTCGTGTCTCACTTGACGCCTGTTCTCGGCGCGGCAGCAGGACGCGGTGCGACGCGACGTAGCGTTTTCTCCGCACCGCGGGTCCTAAGACCCGATTCAGGCGAGTCGTCTCTCTTTCTCTCGGGGGATCAGCATAATACGGTGCCGGCCCACGCGTCCTGCCAACACAGGCACGCCCAGTCACATAACTGCCCAGGTGTGCCTGATTTCGAGGACTTCTCTTGTGCCCTCTTGTACCCTACAACCCCCCGCGAAATATAGACAAGTTGAAATTTATTGGCGAAAATTTATCTTGTAAAATGTACTGAACGAATGGATTTGGAACTTTGAAATTCCTTTCCGCAACTTTTTTTATGCAGATAGATGTGCGTTGATTGCCTTCTTGATATAAACAAACATATAACGTTCGATTCAAAATTTTTTATATTGTAGTAGTTATGCACCTCCAAAAAATGGACTTTGATGGCTCGGGATAAGAGACTTGTAGTGTCTCTCAGTTTTTGAACATGGCCGGAGACACTACCGCGTTTCCTGATATATATCTGATTACAAATTTATCAAATTTTTTAAATAATGTTTTCTGAAGAAGCTGTATTAGGAAAGAAATTTAGTTCTCAGCTCTAATTCAGGTTTAATTGAGTTATTTTTTAACAACAACCAAATAAATATTTTTTGTTTATATAACAAAAAATGTATGTAAATATTTTAATTGTTTTCGCAAAAAATATATTTTTTTACTTCGTTTATTGCAAAAACATTTGTTTATACCGAGTAATGTAGTTTGCATAAAGTTACAGTTTTATTCGGTACATTTAAACAAAAAATTTTTATTAAGTATATTTCAAATTTTTATTGTTATAGCAAAATTTTGTTTATAGAACTAAATATTTTCCAAGCGTGATTCATGAATCAAAGTGTTTCATGCATGAGAAATTATGCAATTTAATTTTATTAAGTACAATATATAATTCTTAATTTCAAGTTATTATCGCTCTTCATTAAATATAGATGAATCAAAAATTATTAGTAAAAATGAGCTTAGGATGACGTCAATACAAATTAGATGCCATAAATGAGCAGCGAAAATATAACAAGCAGTACCATATCGATATGAAATGCGTCGAATCTCGTGTTATAATGTACGATTCACCGTCTATTTGTTTGGCTTGTGCGGGCAGAAACTCCATTAATTTTTCATTGTAACATACCGTGAGTGCCTGAAAGAAGTTGATAATGGATCCCCGATTGAGGCTCGCGCGACTATTGTTACGGGCAGATGCGCCGCGGTCGGCACTGATTTCAAAACAGTAATTATCCGCGCCCACGCGCTGCGCTGACCAAGTATGAAATGAGCCGCGTGCCTCACCGCGATCACGATCACGATCCTCACGATCGATGATATCTCGGGGGCACCGGGCGGGGAGATCGAGGCAATGATCACGGAAGTATAGGTAACGCGAACGGGGGCGCGAATCATTTGCCAGGGTCGCGCTTCTTCAAATTGCTACCTTATAGATGCAGCGTGAAATTAGCGAGCTATATGCTTCATTAACTCCTGTCGTGCATAATTTATAGTCAATCTCGAGTTTTCTTAAGATATACTTCTTGA